GAAATACATTGGATAGATACTAATAGGTATATCTATACAATGATTCAAATAAAATAAATAAAACCAATATATAAAACGTTTTACCTAGCAAACCAATTAACAAATAAAACGTTGAACAAATACTACAATTGTGTATAGCACTAGATTAACTAAAGAATGCTAGGAGACAATTATAGTAAACATAATCTGATATATCAATTATATGCAGATTGTGTTACAATACATTATTCTTTACAAAAGAAAAAGTAAAGAACAATAGCCATAACATACACACATATATACACACAATACTATGATTGTGACAATTCACAATAACATTGTTAATGATAAATAATACAAACACACATTAGTAATGATTTACAACAGATAACTATGTTGGCTATTAAAGAAACAATGCAACAGATTGCATAGTTACTCAGGATACATTAGAAACAATCAATTAACAAACATAACGTTAATAAATTAATACACAGATATAAACAATAATGTAAAGCAAACGAACGAACAATACATTCATGATATAATATATACACAATACACCTAGACACATAGTGAGATGCCTGCAGCCAGACATAACATCTATACAACAAATATACATTAGCATAAAACCTCATTGATCTTGGAATGAAGCAATCTGGCAAAAACAAATATTATTATTGATATTACTGATATACAATCGATGTGACACTTCAATCTGAAGACATAAATCAGCTATTGCTGAATGCTTAATGCATATATGAATGTAGACAAACACAGACAGTAATGATTAAAGAAGGATATTATTGCAACATCAAATATACATTTTACTAGCATGATTCATTAGTTTCACAGTAAAGTAAAAAGGAAATTACTAGAGTACTCAAACAAACTGAATAACAAACAATATAACTTAATAACAAACAATATGTCTGAATAACAAATGATAAAACAAAACGAGCAATTGCATTTATGATTTAAATATGCACATATACATACCTACACATACTGACAAGATTCTGCAGGTCTCTGAAGCATTTATAAATTATTTAATAACATTTACAAACAATCTATTATGATAACAATACTGTTATTGAACAGTATATTATGAACGAACAGACTAATTAAATATACTTAATTAATATAACATTGGACAAACTTAACACCAAGTGGATAACATTCAGAACAGACAGTACACAGAACGAACAATGCATTACTATAATGCTAATAATATTATTATTAACTACATCAAGTTATAAATGTGTTACACGAACGAACAATTGTACAATGCAGTTATAATGATTAAACTATCTATACATACTGTAAGCAAACATCTTACAAGTCTACTAGACCTAGTAAGAGTTTGAAGGGGAGTGTTAAGATGAGACTACATGAGAGTATGTCTCAGATGATATAAACTACATTACAAGCAATGACGAACAATGATGGAATACCTTCCATCATACATTCTACATCTGAGACATACCTACATAGTATATATAGACTAACTAATCAACAGACAATGAAGCAAGCTGTAAGAGAGCAAGCCAAGTCCACTATCCCCCCTCTTTGTGTGATCTCTCTAAGCCTCTCACATAACCTCTCTTCCCCCTTTATTAACAAGTCCAGATTGTGAGAGCAATGCATTTTGAATGTGCTTGGGGATTAGGATGCCTTGCTGGATTGATCTGAAGGTATGGATCTGGGTGTGTAGAGCTACAACCTGACCTTCTGTGAACAACACCAGAGATGCTAGTATTGAGCTACTGCTGGACCTATTGTCTTCATCATGAATGTTGATTGTAGGAAGATTGATGTCTATTGGTTGTAATTTGTGCCCATTGCCAGATTGCTCCCAAGGGACATCCACTTCAAGTGGCATGTCAGCTGTATGGTGGGGTGTGGGAGTAGTAGGAAAGAAACTGTGAATGTCTTGATAGTCTTGCAAACAAAGTTTTGAGGATTCTTTCTGGCTTTTAGCTTTGAGGTACCTTTGAGTACAGTCTGGTTTCTGTTCTGTAAGACTGACTTTCTTGTACTTTGTAGGTTGTTTCCAGTTCTTGATATTAAGGAGCCAGGCTGAGAGTCCAACAGACAGAGAGTCAAACAAGGCATTTGCACCATCTTCATTAAGCAATTCTGTACATTCCAAATCTGCCTTCTCATCACTGTCTGTCAATTCATCAGGCTCAATTGGGACAACAGTCTTTACATCCTCTCCAAAACCTGGAGTGTTGAACTCTTCCTTGTTGTCAGTCCATAAGATTTGGCTTGAACTTGTAGCCTATTTCTTGGTAAGCTATATTAGGCATGGTCAAACCTTGTGATTCAGTACACAATTCACCTACACAATTCACTTTCATACAAAGTGAATTGCAGACCCTGGAACCCTAGCAATTTGGGGTGAATTGTATTGAAAGGTGAATCACACTTTGATACAATTTGCCTTACAATTCACCCCTACAATTCACCTCTACTCATATCTATTTCCAAATATGTACATGTATTACAAAAATAAAACTAAGCTTCTTTTCACCTCTAAATTCCAAAAACAATAAGATGATTTGCCTCTTCCTTGTGAGCACTACAGTATACATACTGTCCTCTGTTCTGTAAAAAATCCTTGTGTTCTCTGCTACCAAGCTCTGTTGTCTTCTTACACATTACTACACACATATCAAGTCCTTCTTGACATGGCCAAATGTATATACACAAAAAAAAACTATTTCTTTAATTTTATATTATGTAATTTTAAGATCAAGGGTCAGTATATTAAGGTGAATCACACATGTACAAGTGTGCTGGTCAAACCTACATGTGTGATTCACCTTGTAATTCACCCTCTAGAATTACAAGGTGAATCACACAGAGAATTACAAGGTTTGACCACACCTATTGTTTATTACTCAGTCTTAAGCATATCTTACAGGTTTATCACTCCTCAGATTCTGTATTCTAGCTTTATCCCTTCCCTTTTGCTAGGGCATTATAGGCAGAACAGAGGAAAATGGGTCTAAATAGCTGATATTTACTAATCAAATGTACATTACTCATCAGGCATGCGTACTATATAAGGAAATAATTATATAATAGATATTTAACCAAAGTGGCAAAAATCTTTGGGAAAAAATTCAAAATTTCACCAAATTGCATTTCTGTACATTTGGTACCAAAAAAAAAGTTTTTTTTTTGGAAATAACTCACTCAAATCTCAATATTTTAAAAAATCAAAAACATACTTTTGTAGGTTAGATTAAGCTGAATAAATCTATGCGGCTCAAATTTGCATTTTTGGGATACTGAGTGTCGTATTTCGCCATCATCGTTTGCATCCAAATTGGGTTAGTCTGTCGCGTCACACTATGTCGAGTTTATACTTTCCTTACCTTACCAATTATTAGTATTAAAAGGAGTATAAAGTGAATAGTGCAAGAAGATGGTGAGGGGCCGAGTTTGAGTCGACTGAAGTGCGAATCCCCTTTAAAGACGCGCGTATGCCTCTTTGTATTCTTTATGGTTTTGCTCTGCATCGACGTACACCTAAATGACGAGTATCCTATCGCTGTGCTTGACGTCGCCTCGATCTCATACCCATTGCTTTCCATTACACGCATAGAAATTCCTGTTGCGCTGCAATAAACACATCATGGTACATCACGTTAAAATGCATATCTGGCCTCATGCATTGAG